GCGTAGCTCATTGTACGGCTGATGTACTTCTCTGAGTATGTTTCCCACTCGACCCTCTCCTGCCCGAACCCCCACTGATGCTGAATAAATGACCTGCAAATTTAAAAAATAAGGCTACTTTACCCTGGTTTTAGATGACGTGACTGCAATTTCAAGTTGAGCGTCTGTGACGTGCTTTTTACGCCACAACTGGTGATTCATCCAGAACCTTCTCACTGACACCTCTGAACACTTAGACCCATGAAGCAGCGTAGCTGATATTTCAGCGTGTGTTTGACCGCTTTTGAAACATTCTGTGACTACGTCTGCAAACCCTTCTAAACTTGCCATTAACTGTTCTCACCTCGAGCGCTAGCTGTGTGTTGCGTGTCTCCAGGATTGTTGATGTTTACTTGCTTATAAAACTACTTCCGGGTCACCACAAATGAAATGAAATGAAAAGTGTAAAAAAGAATTTATGCGGTCGTTATTCGTTTGCTTCATGCTCGTGTTTAGTGGAAAAATGAGAATTGGAAATTGGTTCATTATCCAATTTTTTATTTTGTTTCAAAAAACGAAAAACGGAAAAACAAGTCATTTTTTGGTATTTTCAGTTTTTGTTTCAAACAAAAAAACAAATGAACGAATGATACACGGATTCTAAATGAACACAGATTTTTATTAGGGCTGTAAGTCATCAGCTTTATCACAATACAATATTTTATTGATTTGTTTGGATGACAACCATATCACAGTCTGTCATGATACTGTTAGATTTGATGAATCTGGTAGGACCCAGAGTGCAGTCCACATGAGGACTTGGAAAATAAAAACTCCAAATACCCACTAGTGTGGGTTGCGGATGAACTGGAAAAGTACTGAATGACTGGCTGAGGGTATAATGAAGAACTGGCACTGCTAACACAAAGAAACCCAGACTTAACAAATCTAACAGAAACAAGGTAGAACTCAATGCCAAAGCATCGACTGGTGCCTCCACCTGCCCTAACGTTGTCTGCATCTAAAGCACTGGGCATGCAGTTACATGTTAACCTCTATTTTTGGACTTAAATATTTTAAGATCCTCTCCTTGGGCTGCTACCTTACTGTGGTGGAGGGGTTTGAGTGTCCCAATGATCCTAGGAGCTATGCTGTCTGGGGCTTTATGCCCCTGGTAGGGTCACCCAAGGCAGACAGGTCCTAGGTGAGGAACCAGACAAAGCGCAGCCTGAAGACCCTTTATGATGAATGAAAACTTTGGATCTAACGTTCCCTCGCCCGGAAGCGGGTCACCGGGGCCCCCCTCTGGAGCCAGGCCTGGAGGTGGGGCACGATGGTGAGCACCTGGTGGCCGGGCTTTCACCCACGGAGCCCAGCCGGGCTTAGCCCGAAGAAGAGACATGGGTCCCTCTTCCAACGGGCTCACCACCTGTAGGAGGGGCCAAAGGGGTCGGGTGCAGTGTGGAATGGGCGGCGGCCAAAGGAGGGGACCCAGGCGGTCTGACCCTTGGCTGCAGAAGCTGGCTCTTGGGACGTGGAACGTCACCTCTCTGGTGGGAAAGGAACCGGAACTAGTGTGCGAGGCTCAGAGGTTCCGCCTAGAAATAGTCGGCCTCACCTCGACGCATGGCTCTGGTTCTGGAACCAGTCTCCTTGAGAGGGGATGGACGTACTTCCACTCTGGAGTTGCCTGCGGTGAGAGGCGCCGGGCAGGAGTGGGCATACTTGTTGCCCCCCATCTTGGAGCCTGTACGTTGGGGTTTACCCCGGTGAACGAGAGGGTAGCCTCCCTCCGCCTACGGGTGGTGGGGATGGGTTCTGACTGTTGTCTGCGCTTACGAGCCAAACAACAGTTCATATTACCCACCCTTTCTGGAGTCCTTAGAGGGTGTACTAGAGGGTGCCCCTACTGGGGACTCCCTTGTTCTGCTGGGYGACTTCAACGCTCACGTGGGCAATGACAGTGAGACCTGGAGGGGCGTGGTTGGGAGGAACGGCCGCCCCGATCTGAACTTGAGTGGTGTTCTGCTGTTGGACTTCTGTGCTCATCACGGATTGTCCATCACGAACACCATGTTCAGGCGTCCATATGTGCACTTGGCACCAGGACACCCTAGGCCATGGTTCGATGATCGATTTTGTCATCGTTTCGGTTCTGCGGCCGTACAGTATGTCTTGGACACCCGGGTGAAGAGAGGGGTGGAGCTGTCAACTGACCACTACCTGGTGGTGAGTTGGCTCCGGTGGTGGGGGACGAAACCGGTCAGACCTGGCAGGCCCAAATGTGTAGTGAGGGTCTGCTGGGAACGTCTGGCGGAGTCCCCTGTGACACGGAGCTTCAACTCCCATCTCCGGCAGAACTTCGAACACATTCTGGGGGAGGTGGGGGACATTGAGTCTGAATGGACCATGTTRRGTACCTCCATTGGCGAGGCGGCTTATCGGAGCTGCGGCCGCAAGGTTGCTGGTGCCTGTCGCGGTGGCAACCCTCGAACCCATTGGTGGACACCTTCGGTGAGGGATGCTGTCAAGTTGAAGAAGGAGTCCTATTGGGCCTTTTTGGCCTGTGGGACTCCAGAAGCAGCTGATGGTTACCGGCGGGCGAAGCGGCATGTGGCTCGGGTGGTCGCTGAGGCAAAAACCCGGGCGTGGGAGGAGTTTGGAGAGGCCACGGAGAAAGATTTCTGCACGGCTTCGAGGCGATTCTGGCCCACCATCCGGCATTTCAGGAGGGGGAAGCAGTGCAGCACCAACACTGTTTATAGTGGGGATGGTGTGCTGCTGACCTCAACTCAGGATGTTGTGGACCGGTGGGCGGAATACTTCGAAGACCTCCTCAATCCCACCAACATGCCTTCTG